TAACTTAACATATGCGTTTTTAGTGGGGATACAGGATAGTAAGATTCAAAACTCGCTGGGATAATCGAGCTTGGTCTACTCCGATTAAACATGCAAGTTGTGTTATATTATATTATTCGGATTATTAATAATATAAATATCATACTATTGACAGGCGTGGCTCTGGACAGATATTCTCTGTAATTTGAAAATTTTGATATCTTGGATCCCGTCGTTAAAATTTTCTGTCATTATGGATACCATGATCCTGATCATTCAGGAAGTAACAAGTTGAGGAAAAACAACATTTATCCGTAAAAATCGTAATTTTTTGTACAACAGAATTCCCAGTTTTAACAAACTACAATGAAAGCAATGTGAATAAGAACAATGATGGGGCTTAATCATTTGAGGCTATCAATAATTCAACGATAATATAAAATGTTCTCTGTCCGCATCTACTTTGAATTGTTGCTGTTCACCTGCCCCTCCTTCGTTTCCATTTTTGTTCATTTGTCCTTCCTTGCCACTTGGTCTACTTGAGACGCTAACGCTGCTCCTCTCTTGCCAGCTACAGGGGGCCGGTCTTTTAAGACCTAGAGTGGGCGAGGAGTGATCCCAGAAACTTTCAATAATTGAGACCTTCTGCCTTGCCGGTGAAGTTTATTCGCTACTTTAAGGCGAAATATTATAATAGGTAAAGTGATTGTAGACCGGCCTATACTATCACTACTTCTGCTATTAATACTACTACTACTAATACAACTCTTACTACTAATACAACTCCTACTATTACTACTACTACTATTACTGCTACTACTACTACTACTACTACTATCACTACTACTACTACTACTATCACTACTGCTATTACTACTGCTTCTAACAGTACAACAACTGCTACTACAACTAGAACAGGTGAAGCCTGTTGCTGCTCAACCTTCAATATGCAGGTGGACTAGCTTGGTTAAAGCAATTTTTATTTGGAATGTTTATCGCTGAACACTTGCGGGTATTGTGGTCGCTGGCTAACTCGTGTAAATCGACCAGTTACTGCTTGAATGCTGTCGGAGAAACAGTTGAAAAGTATCACTCTTACGGTAAGTTAACTTGCTGCACTAACACTTATTGAAATGCTTATTTCTACAGAGTTCTGCCCGATAAATTTGTTTTAATATAAGTAAATAAAAGGTTATGAAATGAAATACTTGTACATTTTTTAATGAATTCAACAAGGCTATTTCACTAAACTCGTGTAGCACAAAATTGGGGAAATGACGGCAGTGTGTGAGAGTTCGACTGCCGTGAGTACTGGTAGCTATATTCCGGTCCACGGGGCTGACGATGCAGAGGTCGTTTGGTTCTATTTGTTATTTTACTCCACGCAGTTCTGGCTAAATATTTAATAATAATTTTATCAATTAAATTTTTTAGCCTGTAAGAGTAAAATACAGAATTACTATAAAAACGACCTCTACTGCAGCAATAATTAATTTACTGCCCACAGTCTCCGATTGCCGCAAAGCGCGGTGTCTGAGACCAAATGAATGAACCTAAAATATACGTAATAAGGAATTGTGATACAATTACTCATACAACGTCAATGTTTCGTTAGAAATATTAAGGATAAAGCGAAAGTAGTAGCAACAGCCACAAGCCATATTTATAAGAAATAATTCCGATAATTTCTTATATGGGCTTACGTCCTTATATATCATGACCGCAATATGGCCTTATTTACCTAATTCACAAAACTTAATTCACGAAAAAATTTGATTCAAAATACTGAGACTACAGTTGTTTTATAATCGACGTCTTAATCACTTACAATATTAATTGTGCTGTTAAACGAATTTGTAATGCGGTCGCGAATTTGTCAGTTCTGGCAATGAAAATATTCACCCTGCTAATTGCTGCTATTTTTGTGTCTATACTATATTTTTCTACTACCATTCCTACTATCATCATTTATACATACTATTGTGTCTATACTATATGATATCACTCATTCAAAGATATAATCATGCATTGCACTATTGCATGCAATAAACAATACAATGCATGATTAATTAATGTACTAGATAAAATAAAACTTTTTTCGCTTCCTCACAGGAGATTCCTCTTTTGAGTTTCGCACCCTGAACTCAAACTTTAATCCTCTTCTGCCGCCCCGAACGGTCAAGCCCAAACCATGCAAGCCCCGCGAGCCGCTGCCGTCTTCTTGGTGAGATTACATTAAATGTCAAAATTGTATGTAGGTGTAATTAATTAATAAGTATATATGCTTATTCAGACTGGAAATATTCCGCTAATAAAATACAATGAATAAACATTTGCATATACGTGTGATCAACGGGTGTACTCGTGTGTAAGAGATGTATACATTTCTAAAACAAACTAACCTGATGATTAAAATGTATTAAAAATGTTTATTAATCAAGCATGCTTATAGGCCAAAATATTTTCATTTTCTTTTGGCCTAGTTATTATTAGAGGGACCATTTTTTCCATCGTAATCAAGCAGCGCCGCTCTTACTCTTTCAGCGCCTAGAGCAGTCGGTCTATTTTTACATATATATATGAATATTTTTCATATATCTATTTTTTCATATATATTTCATTTTCATACATTCCCTAAATTATTGTTGCTCTTTTTTCTGGGAACACAATTGGTATCCATGCTACAAAGCCAAAGCTGTAATAATTATTAATGGCGTGTTTCTGTAATAATTATTAATGGCGTGTTTCTGTAATAAATATTATTGGTGCGTTTCTGTAATAATTAATAATGGTGCGTTCCTGTAATAATTATTAATGGTGCGTTTCTGTAATAAATATTATTGGTGCGTTTCTGTAATAATTATTAATTGCGTGTTCTTGCAATATTATTAATGGTGCGTTCCTGTAATAATTATTAATGGTGCGTTCCTTAAATAATAATTATTAATATTGTGTTTCTGTTATAATTATTAATGACGCGTTCGTGTCATAATTATTAATGGGAGTTCTTGTAATAATTAATCATATAACCCACGACGCTGTTCTTGTCCATAAGCAGGAACTGACAGCTAATTTTAACCCAGGAAATTTATATTTAACCTTATTTTTCAGGCCATCGCCGTGTTGACGTCTGCCGTGCAAGATGCCAGAGCTGGCAGCTACTCGCAGAAGGTACATTTCCTAAGAAATATGATTTAAGACTTTTATTCTTAACNGTTATTGTGTCTTTACTAGTCTTTTGTTGAGTTACTGTGTCTTTATGAGTCATTTGTTGAGTTATTGTGTCTTTACGAGTCATTTGTTGAGTTATTGTGTCTTTACTAGTCATTTGTTGAGTTACTGTGTCTTTATGAGTCATTTGTTGAGTTATTGTGTCTTTACGAGTCATTTGTTGAGTTATTGTGTCTTTACGAGTCATTTGTTGAGTTATTGTGTCTTTACGAGTCATTTGTTTAGTTATTGAGTCTTTACGAGTCATTTCTTGAGTTTTTGCTTCGTATTTCTTATGAATGCTTCAAAAATTTTCGTTGTCTGAAATTTAGCAAATCCGAAATTTAATTCATATATTTAATTTACAGGCGCTCTCATGTTCAAGTTTGACGGCGCCTGCTACGCCAGCGGCAAGACTGCGTACGACGTAAATAACGACGAGCAGGACTGCGGTGACGCACCTGCTGAAGTTGTTTACGTCAGGACGCCTCGTAAGTTGTTTACGTCATGACGCCTCGTAAGTTGTTTACGTCATGACGCCTCGTAAGTTGTTTACGTCATGACGCCTCGTAAGTTGTCAACGTCATGACGCCTCGTAAGTTGTTTACGTCCTGACGCCTCGTAAGTTGTCAACGTCATAACGCCTTGTAAGTTGTTTACGTCATGACGCCTCGTAAGTTGTTTACGTCAGGACGCCTCGTAAGTTATTTACGTCATGACGCCTTGTAAGTTGTTTACGTCATGACGCCTTGTAAGTTGTTTACGTCATGACGCCTCGTAAGTTGTTTACGTCAAGACGCCTCGTAAGTTGTTTACGTCATGACGCCTCGTAAGTTGTTTACGTCATGACGCCTTGTAAGTTGTTTACGTCAAGACGCCTCGTAAGTTGTTTACGTCA